CACATTTAACCGTTTGGTGCATATCTTTCCAAATCTTTTGTTCTATACATAGACAAAATGCACACCACCTTCATTCGGCTCATTCGATACAAAGGGTTTTGCCACCTGCATTTTACATTTATATCTTTGATGTCTTTCCATGTCAATACATGTAGGCTAGATGGAATTCTATCATTAAATACCCTTTTAACAATGGCAAAAATATTTTTTAAAAAATCATCCACCCAAGTGTGTATGTATAATTTTAAAATAGACAAAATCTACAACACAAAGGCTAACATCTAAAAATAGTCTATCTTTCCACCAGTGTGGAACAGTTCATTCATTTTTCACACAAAACAAATTATGTGATTGGGGAGATTAACTCTAATCTCCACATTTACACAGAATGTTAAGCCTATTTGAAAAGAATGAAAAATTCAGTTGATTAATTCACTTACACTTAAAAACCAAGTCAGTGCACTACAAATACACATTGTGATCAGTTACAATAGGATAGTTCTTAGTCTAGGCTTTCAATTAATAGAAAAAATATAGATAATACAGCTAATACTGTGAAAAATGCAGAAATTCGAATTTTAGATCACCACCTACAACACCGTAGTTTTACATTTTTCCTTCTTGGCAGCAAATGCTAATGTAATTCAATGCTGATTACTTAAATTTGGTTCACATCACACATTCAATCAGAGTAATAAGAACATAACACATCCACTGTAGAGTTAGATTAAGATATAAAAATTTTTTGCTTGAAAGTAATGACTGTGTAGCACATGGGACATTTATCAACTGCTTCAGCACATTGTTTACAAGTGACCAGATGTCCACAAGGAATAAATGCGACAGCAATATTTCTATCCATGCAGATCTTGCAAAGCTTCTCCTCTTGCAGGAGCCTTAGCTGCTCTTCAGCACTAATGTCTGCACGAAGAGAAAAGAAATGAGTTAACTGTAGACTTTCTAAGTTGTTTAAATTCATGGAAACGGTCTGAACCCCTACTATGTGCCAGGCACCAATTGACTGTTAGGAGATGGGATGACTCACACATGGCACCTGCTCTTAGTGGCTCGAATGCTGGTAGGAGGGAAGGACGCGAGCCAAGGCGATAAAGGTGAGCACAAAGGACAGAGTGATAAGCGCTGTAATAAAGTTCTATGCGAAGTGCTGGGGACAAGACGCAAGAACAAGTTCTTCCGTTCAGACTGGCCGGGGAAAGCTTCACGGCTGGCAGCTGCTGGGCCGAGGGAGTGGGAAGTGGAGCAATGACATTGAAACATGACCAGCAATTTGCCAGGCAGAGAAGCAAGGGTCAGGTAAAAGCCGTGTACAGAAAGGGCGTGGCTTACTCTGGCATCGGAGGGATGGACCTCAGGGACACCTCTGAAATGGGACAAGCAGGATTTGGTGACTCACCGGAGGTGAGCGACGCCGAAGAAAGAAGAAATACAGTTTTTCAAGACTTTTAGCGTGGCTGACAAGAGGATGGTGATGCCAGTAGGAAATAGAAAAGGAGGTACAGGTTTGGGATTTTCAAGGTATTTTTGAGGTGTTTGCGGGGCATCTATAGAAAAATGTCCAGTAGGTAAACGGGGAGTCCGATCTTGAGGTCAGAAGTCAGCATTAGAGATAAGAGATTTGGGTGCCATCAGCATAGGGGTGGCACTGGAGTACTTGCTGAATTCAGCCTTTCCCAAACTAGGTTTAATGAAACGTTAACACATATGCCACAGAAATGTGTTTTGTGGTCTTATGTAACTATAATGACAACATCAACCATAGCAGCAGTTAACAGTAATGCAGCAGTTATTACCATGTGCTAGGCACTATTCCAAATGCATTACATACTTTAACAATCTTTGCAATCACTACATACACCAGTGGTTTCCAAATCTGGCCTCACATGAGAATCACTTGAGGCATTTGTAGCAACAGATTCCTACGCCCTGTTCAGTGAATCTAAAATTTTGGGGGTTGAGCCCACTAGCATTTGGAAACCACTGCTATCAAGTTCAGGGCAGTATAATATAGTGTTTGTTCCCGCTTGGTAATTCATAATGCATTTCCCTACTTAATTATAGAGCTCCTCTACCATGGCATCCCTTTTAACATCCTGGGGACACTAGTATGAAAACATGTTTGGGAAATAGTGGTTTAATTTTATCCAACAAACACTTAACGAGGTTCTAGGCACTAGAGATACAACAATTATATATATATATATAGACCTTGGGACACAAGTAGACATGAAATTAGAATACAGTGTGATGATAAAGGTAGTTACGATGTGTTATGAAGAACATGGGAAGGGTGTAAGTGTGTGCATGTGGGTACAGGCATGAACACATAAAGGGAAGGCCTCCTGGAGGAACGTATGCCTAAACTGGGGTCTAAAGGGTGAGCAGGAATAAACCAGGGAGAGGGAGAAGGCCCTGGGGGACAGAGGCAGTGGAAGAAGGGTGCTCTAGTGGAGGAAATGGCATAAGGAGGCTCCAGAGGAAGAGACAGAACAGGGCCTGCAAGTCCACAGGTAAGGCTTGGGAATAGAATTTGAAGGGGAAACAGCAAGAGATGAGGCTACAGAAGGTTAGGAGGAGCCTGATCCTGAAATATTTGGCAACCTATGTGATGGAGTTTGAACTTCATCTTCAGGGCCCTGGGAGCTGGTGAAGGGTTTGAACCTGGAGAGAGATATGTTCAGATTTGTGCTTCAGTAAGGTTTCCCTGGCTAGGGGTGTAAGAAAGGATTATTTAATCTCCTTTTTCTTATAAGGCAACCTTCTGGGCATAATCAAAACTATAGGCTCAAACATGGAACTTATCAGAACCAAGAAGATAAAGTACCTAACCTGAAGAAGCTTATCTAATGGGCAGGAAAGAAAACAATTCCAAAATAATGTTACAAGTGCTCTAAGAGTACTGAGAGTAGAGGCGGGAGCTCTGAACTCTGCTGTGGGCACTGGGCAAAACTTCAAGGGCATGACCTCTGAGCTGAGCCTGGAAGGACGAGTTCCCAAGCCAGAGTTAGGAAACCGGCGGCGGAGTGGGGAATGAGACCAGGTACGCAGGCAGGGAAAAGGCACTCAGGGCAACGGAAACAATTTAAGCAAAGGGATAGCATGAGAAACCGTAACGACACAAAAGCACACGACCAGCCCCGGCTGGTGTGGCTCAGTTGGTTGCGCACTATCCCGCACAAGGAAAGGTCGCTGGCTGCACATCGGAGGCAACCTACTGATGTTTCTCCCCCGCCTTTCCCCTCTCTCTAAAGTGAATAAAACATATTTTTTAAAAAGCGTATGACCAAAACAGTCAGGATGAAATGCATATTCATGCTGCTGTCATACCAGCGGTCACCGGCATGCATCCACCCAGCAGAATATGAGAAAGCAGAGCCACTAGTTTAAAATGATGCGATGACAGGCTTTCTGCTGCCTCGGAAGCAGAGGGACGGACTCAGATTAGGAAGCAGAAGCACAAGACTGCAAATGAGGAGGAACCCGAGCAGCTTTGCGGCTTCATGTCCAACCCTTTTGCCCTTCGCCTGTGAGCCTGAGCCGGTCCCGTCATGTTCAAGTGTCCTCCTGTACTGCTCAAAGGTCCCAGCACCAATGACATTCCCTTTGCCCCCGAGTCTGGACTGGGTCTCTTTTGTGCTTCCTTCCCCACAGAGCCTCTCTTCCCCTGGACCACTCCTGGGAGGTGAGGGGATTACCCCTTCCCAGGGTTGTTTTTGTTTTGTTTTTTACTCCCGTGGGGCTTACCTTAAAGTATTAAAAGTAGCTTTGTAATTTTTCATTTTCAATTTTGAGAGTACCTTTATTAAAGCTGGGGACAGTGAAACAAGGACGGACTTAGGATAGAAGAAACAACAGGAGAGGCTAGGAGGGGCTGCTTTGGCTCACTGGGAAGTCAGAGAAAAGGGGGCCTTGGAGACAGGTTCCGGGGGTCAGCCCGGGATGAGCTGCCGCTGCCCATTGCTCCCCTTGTTTCAAGTCTCGTGGGGACCTTTGGGGTTTAGGAGATGTACACCTGAGAGGTAAGAAAGGCATGGGTGTGCCCCCAGGAAGGAAAGCACCAAAGGCAGCTTTGGAATTTAAAAAATAAGGTGGAAAACAATGAAGTAATTTATACATTACTTTTGGATGTGATGCTGCAATGAATAAAAAACAGTGGACCAGATATCTAGAGCAGTCAAATTTAGAGAGACAGCAGGATGCTGGTTGCCAGGGGCTGGCATGAAGGGGAATGGGGAGTTGTTATTAATGGGTGCAGAGCTTCAGTTTTGTAGATGAAGAGTTCTGGACTTTGGTTGCACAACGTGAATGTACTTAACACTACTGAACTGTACACTTAAAAATGGTTAAGATGGTAAATTTTGTTATGTGTATTTTACCATCATTTTTCTTAAATTTAAAAAAAGGAACGCTGGCCCAGAAGTCAGGAAACCCGAATTTCACTCCCAACTACCTGAGTGACCTTAGACAACAGCACATCTGCACTTCAGTTTTCTCACTGAAGTAATGAAAGTTGTATGACCTTTAAGGTTCCTCCTGGTTCTGTTTGAGATTCCATTTTACAGATCACAATGGAATGAAAGGTCATGCCTACAGAACACTAATATCAACTCTACTTTTTCTACCTTATTTCAGCATTTTGTACAGAATTAAAAGATTCTTACTGCCAGTTTTTCATCAGCAGCCTTTGGGGAGAGAAACAGGCAGCAGCCCTAGCCTGAGAAGACAGCCTGCATCAATTACCCGCCTCCCTATTTAGCGAGAACAAGGAGAGGTCAACTGGCGAATTCCAGCTCCTCCCCCCGAGAGTGCCGCTGCTTAGACCCGCCTTCTCTCACCATCCTAGCTTGCAGTCTCTGCGATAATAACCCCTGTGGACTCTCTTCCTATTGCAACCCACTAAATCCTTCTGCCGCAGACAACTTGAGGTATAAAAACTAACACCTTACTGTCAAATTTAATTAAGCTCGAGTTGTGATTAAATGCAGGCAAAACTGAGACAGTCACTTGTATTTCTACTGCAGCAGAAAGATGACAAAGTAAATGGTTTATTTTATCATGGCTAAGGCAAGTGGAGCTATTACAGGTTTTAAATAAATAAATCTTTAGAAAAGTATTAAGCTTTCTGCTGAATCTTTTACATCAACTGATGTAATTTTAAAAATCACTGCCTGGCCGGGCGTGGCTCAGCGGTTGAGCATTGACCTAGGATCCAGAAGCTAACGGTTCGATTCCCGGTCAGGGCACAGGCCCGGGTTGTGGGCCAGATCCCCAGCTGGGGGCATGCAGGAGGCAGCCGATCAATGACTCTCATCAGTGTTATACTGATTTACGACTTATGTAATTCTCTGAGTAATGTTTCAAAAACATCTGAAATAACTTAAAGATCACAAGGGTCTTCAATGTAAAAAAACTAATTAAACTTTTAGGTTCACTCAGCACTACAAAAATTCTCGTCTTTTGGGAGAAATGGACAAGAGCTTAGAGAACAATGGTTATAATAAATGTATTCTAATGAACACCTTTTCTTTACCCTTCAATGCTACTCGTAGCTGTCATCCTTAGAGGAGGGACCTGTATTTTTAAAAATCTTTCTTTTCAAAAAGGAGTTTATATGTATCTCTTCTATATTAATTAACACACTTTGTATATGTGATTCACAGTATTAAGGTGCCATTCATTCAAGCTCTATTTAGTATTATGACCCCTTTATATATTTATATCATATGAAAAGTTGCAGAACACTCTAAATCCAGTTTCAACTATATAAACTGAGTTTCAGATGATATTATGGAATTATTGTTCATTTCTTTTAAGTGTGATAATAGTATGTTATGGACTAAATGTCTGTGTCCCTAAAACTCAAATTTTAAAGCCGAACACCCAATGCGATGGTACTTGGAGACTGGACCTTTGAGAGGTAATTAGGTTTTGATGAGGTCATGAGGGCGGGACCCTATGATGGGATCAGTGTCCTTACAGTAAAGAGGAAGAGAAAGCAGAGTGCTCTGTCTCTCAGCCAAGTGAGGACACAGAGAAAAGGCAGCCATTTGTAAGCCTGGAAGAAGCCCTCATCAGGAACTATGTCTGCCTGCACCTAGATCTTGGACTTCCCAGTCTCCAGAACTGTGAAAAATAAATGTCTACTGTTTAAGCTCAACCAGCCTATGGTATTCTGTTATATCAGTCCAAGCAGACTAACACACAGTATTAAGGGTAAGTTATAAAAAAGTCCTGCCCGGCTGGGCGTGGCTTAGCGGTTGAGCATCGACCTAGGATCCAGGAGATCACTGCTTCCAGCCCCGGTCAGTGCACATGCCGGCTGCAGACCCGATCGTGCAGGAGGTATCCCATCAATGAAGACTCTCTCATCACTGATGTTTCAACTCTGTCTCTCCCTCTCCCTTCTTCTCTCTGAATCAATGTATATATATTTTAAGTCCTTATCTGTTAGATACTTACTGAACTATTTATAGGTGAATGATATATAGGATGTCTGGTATTTACTTTGAAATACTACAGCAAAAAAAACCCAAACACATTGGGGGAAGTAATGAAACAAGATTGGAAAAGTGTTGGTAATCACTCAAGCTGGTTGATGGCTACATCAGAGATCATTATACTGTTCTCTCCACTTCTGAGTATATTTGACATTTTTCATAATAAAAAGTTAAAAATGTTTATCCTAACAGGGATGTGAGAGGGGGGAAATGAATGGGTCACAAAGCCATATAAAATACTATCCATAACGAAGTACTATTAGGTGTTGCTTGTTTTTTTAAAACCAGCCAGGCATACCTTTCTGCAATGAAGTCTGACTTGACTCATCTTGTGTACTGTCTTTCTGAGCGCTCACTAGATCTGCAACCAGAACCTCCAGTGACTTATAGTTGCTCCCAGATGTCTGGATTTTTTCCTCCATTTTTTTCTTAATGTCCCCGAAACTGAATCCCATTCGCATAGCTTCATGTATCATAGGACTCTGAGAGATGTTATCATCTGAAATGAACATTGGCAAGGAAAAAGAACAGAGTTTAAACAATTCTTTTCATTGACACAACTCAACACAAAGTATAGTTAAAAGGAAAAATTTAAGCAGCAAGAAAACAACCAAAAACAAACCAGCAAACCAAAGACATACACAAGAATATTCACAGCGGCATTATTTTTAACGGGCCCAAACTGGAAATAACACAAATGTCCGTCATCAGCCGAATGGGTAAGTATAACGCCGTATAGTCGAACACCACATAGCAAGAATGAAGAATGGACTGCTGCCACAGACCACACAGATGCATCTCCCAGACAGGACTAAAACACCATCATAAACACGAACCAGAGACAAAAGACTACTTACTGTATGGTTACACTTACAAGATGTTCTAATCTAACCTAATGTTCGATGGTAATAGAAGTCAGAATATGACTTGGGGGTGGATACTGACTGGGACATGTAGAGATCGGACTGTAAGAAACATTGTATGGTAACAAAAGATATTTTCTTAGTGGGAAAGTAACTTAAGATTTGTGTTTGGTAAAAATTCTGTCAGGAGGTTTTAATGCGAATAAAAGATCAGTTAGGAGACTACTACAATAGTCTGGATGAAAAATAAGGCCAGGAACCAGGGCAGAAGCAGTGGATTTTGGACAATATTAAAAAGGTAGAATTTATCAGACCTGGTCATTAATTAAATGTGGAGAGATTAAGGAAAACAAAGGTCAGCTGACTTCACTCTTTCCTGGTTCTACTCACTCTGGTTTTTTTCCAGTTTGTTTTGCTGGCTCCTTCTGCCCACCTGATTAGATATTGACGGTTCCCTTCCATTCTCTCATTGACAGCCCCCCCCCCCCCTTGGACAATCTCTCTGGACACTTTCCCTACTACCACAATTTTACCCTCATTTATATGAGTTCCAGGTTTTAGCATTCACCTACATGGATATCCTCCGGGTACCTGAAGCCCAACTTGCTGAAAACCCAAAGCAAGGACAACAGGCTATCTACATGAAAAAGAATTAAATGTACCACTACCTCATACTATATGTAAAAATTAACTCAAAATGGATCAAAGACCTGAATGGAAGCGCTAAAACCATAAAACTCTTAGAAGAAAACATTGGTGACTTTGGATTAGTCAATGGTTTCTTCGATATGACATTAAAAGGATAAGCAACAGCCCAGCCAGTGCTGCTCAGTGGTTGAGCGTCGACCCGTGATTCAAGAGGTCACCAGTTGGATTCCCCATCAGGGTATGTGGTCAGGGCACATGCCTGGGATTTGGGTTCGGCACCCAGTAGGGGGCACGCAGGAGGCAGCAGAAGCATGTTTCTCTCCCATCGATGTTTCTATCTCTCTATACCCTCTCCCTTCCTCTCTCTTTAAAATCAATAAAAACATATTTAAAACAAAAACAATAAACATAAGCAACAAAAAAGCCCCCGATAAATTGGAATTCACCAAAACAGAAACTTGTTTGCTTTAAAGGACACCAACAGGAAAGAGAAAAGACAATCTTCAGAAAAGGAGAAAATATTTGCAAATCATATATCTGATAAGAGACATGTATAAAAAGAACTAGGATATGCAAAGAACTCTTACAATTCAAAATAACACAAATAACCCAACTAAAAAATAGTCAAAGGAGATGAACAGACATTTTTCCAAAGACGACATACAAATGGCCAATTAGCACATGAAAAATGCCCAACATCATTAGCGATCAGGGAAAAACAAATCAAAACCCAGATGAGGCACCACTTTACCCCCACTAGGATGGCTGTAATAAAAAGACAAATAACAAGTGTTAACAAGGATGTGGAGAAACACTGCTGGTGGGAATGTAAAATGGTGCAGCCACTTTGGAAAATTGGCAGTTTACTGAAAGGTTAAACATAAAGAGCTACCACATGACCCAGCAACTCCATCTCAAAATATATATCCAAGAGAATTAAAAACATGTCCACACAAAAACTTGTACATAAATGTTCATAGCAGCATCAGCTATGTCTACCAACTGGCGAATGAATAAATAAGGTATATTATCCATACAAAGAAATAGTTTTCCACCATAAAAAAAAGAAATATTCATATTTGAGTACTAAAACATGGGTGAACCTTGAGGCCATTATAATTCCATTTAATATGAAATGTCCAGAATAGGCAAATTCATAGAGACAGAAGTAGATTAGTGGTTGTTTGGGGACGGGGGTGTGGGAGGCAGCAAGGGGGAGTGATTGCTAATGGGTATGGGGTTTCTCGTTGGGGTTATGATAATCTTCTGTAATTAAATAGTAGTGATGCTTGCGCAACCTTGTGAATACACTAAAAACCACCAAAGTGTATACTTTATAATGGTGAAAATTTTGCTAAATAAATTATATCTAATTTAAAAACATTAATCCTAAACCAAAAGAAGACTTTCATTAGTCATAAAAAGAACAGTATGCATTGTAAGTTTGATTATCAAGAGAAGTTACAGAATCTTTGTTTCTGGATAATTTCAAAAGTATAGGCTGGAACAAATGATTTCTTAACCTGTGTTACTTATTCCCATTACAAAATCATGTTAAAGTGGCTCTTCCAAGGCTTATTTATGAATATACAGTACTCTCTTGCCTTGTAATCCTTAATATACTAAACAGACGATGCTATGAGTATAGGGCATGGGGAATCACAGACATATTTTAAATTAAACTTTCTCCTGTTTTTGAAATATGATGCCTCAGTTGAGAATGAGACTTGTAGTGTGATGTAGGACTCAGAGTACCTTGTTTACAGTCCTAGTTCCACTAATGATTTGTAATGTAACTGTGTACAGAACACTTAACCTCTCTGACTCTGTTTCCTCATCTGAAATGTGGGGATTACGACACCTTCCCTTAACATACTATCTTTCTCTGCCTACTTTCTGGTTGTTAAAGATATCTACGATGAGTAAATAATCTTTGTGATAAAAACTTCTACCTCTCTGTGAGGTAATAGGAAATAAGCAAACCCAACCGTACGCCTCTGTGAAGAAGGTGGGGAAGGCACAACATGGCATGCAGTAAATAAGGAGGCAGGTTAGGGTTCATTATGGTGATGGCACATTAGCAGAGCTCTGCATTCACGATCCTGGTGAACTAAAACAGCCCCAGGGACAAAAATCCATCTAATCCTTACTTTTGTGATGTTAACAGAGTGGTGATGGATAACCTATGGCTGCTTCTCCCAAACTTGGAATAGCTAACTGTCCAACCTCTAGGAATATTCTGAATATATAAATATCCTACTGAAATTTATAGGTGCTTCATTACTTCTTAAGTTTATAGCAATCTCATCTCAAATAAATACACCTTGGTGAACCTGAAAGAATATGTTTACCTTTCTACCCTATAAATAACAAGTATAAGTTGGCAATGAAATTAAAAGTACATTTATTATAATAAGCATATTTACCAATTCTTTTAGTTACTGATGGTGTTTTTTCAGCAGTTCTTGCCTAAAATAGAAATATGAATTATAAGTTAAAATTCTTTTTGGTAGAAGGCAATTACCTCAATTTGAAAAGTTACATTAATCATGAATTTAAAAACTGTCTTTATTCCAATTCAACATATGAATATTCACAAGAGGTATAGCCTGATGAAGCTAGAAGGAACTTAAAAGATCATCTAACCCAAGCCATTCACTTTTCAGACAAGAAGCTGACACTTGGGAAGATTAAACAACTTGACTGAGGCAATATAGTTCCTGGCAGAACCATAATGGCAACTCTGACCTCCCATTCTACCCCAGGGGTCTTTTCACATGGTACTGATGCCTCAGGCACCCCAGGCGACAATATCAATTTAGATACCTTTTTGAGATCTTAATTATTGTCTGGGGAAAGTTTAAAACTATGAGTACAAAACACACTGTACACAAGTCAAATTTCGGAAGACTGAGAGATTCAAGTATTTTAGTTCTTCAAGACCATTTTTGCCTACAGTGATACCAAATCAGTCCATCCTAATCCCCCTTTTACACATTTGCTTCAGGTTAAGAACAAAGAACACTTTTCAAGATCTCACCTTTAAGGCTCACTGTACATTATTATTAGAAAATACCATACTGTGAATTTACACCAAGAAATTATTGCAAACAAATTACATAATATCTGAAAAAATATATTCTACAATATCTGACTTACCACTGAGTCCTCAAGTGAATGAGTTAAATGAATATTGTTTATATATTCTTGTCCTTTCTCTTCCAACAGATATTTACACCTAAATAAGAAGGTTAAACTTTAGTAGCTGGAAAATTAGTACAGTGTATGATGTCATCTCTATCACCCTAATCCCATCAACTTGCTTTCCATTATTTTTAAGGAGCCACAAAAGAAAATGTTACTCAATTCCCTATCCAACTGTCATTTTAAGGTTAAAATAATACGCTCCCTTTGTTATGCTACTTATCGTAATGTTAGTAGATCAAAAAATATCAACTTGAGAACTTTCAACTTTTAAGCAAGTTATTAAATTCGCACCTTAACATTTAAAAATCAAGTTTTAAATAACCTTAACAAGTTTTATTTAGAAGATTAATCAATTGTGCATTTAAAAGGAATTCTTTAGGCTTTCGACATTTCCTTTTAAGGTTGTTTAAGGTTAAGGTTTATCTTCGAATGGTTGCTTGAAGTTTTAAGTTGTACTATTTTGTAGATCAAAATGCACATCACATCTATATCTGTTACTTTATTTTAAAGAGGCAAAATGGCAGAGACATTCAGAGTATGTCACCATCACTCTAAGATGCCACTGACTGCAGGAAGCACTATTATTTTATGTACCAATGCTGCCAATTAAATTACAGGCCACCGCCAGATGTATCCTGACTTCAGAGATCTGGAAATGTAAACAACCGTGTGTTAGAATCAGTGAGAAACAGTAATGTTTGCTAAAGGGTGTGATGGGTTCTTAAGGAATCTCTTTGGCAATGTGAGCTCTCCTGTGCCCATTGTAAAAGAGCCTACTTCCAACAACTAAAGTACACATTCCTAATTTGGTGTTTAGAAATGGAATCATCTGAATGTCATAAATATAATACATAAGTAACAATGTTTTCATCACCAGAGAAGGCTTAGGTGGTGGTGTTTTCCTATAAAGTAGGTGACCCCATTTTTACAAACCAGGTGTGAATTTCAAGCCCTGGGAAGGCAAAAATAGTTGAGGTGAAAAGTTATTCAAGTCTTCCCATTGCATACTGTCCAAGTTGGCTGTCACTGAATAAACATTTAAATACCTTACCCTGGATACCACTTAGCATGTTCTTCCCAAGGGTCTTCACTGGGTTTCCAATCAGTCAGCCCTCCTCCACAATGAAAGCACTTTACTTTATCACCTTCACCTAAGAAAACATAAGTAAAAATACATGTATTTTGTGCAATTAGAAGCTTACACCAAAATACCCTTTATAGGCCCTGGCTGGGTAGCTCAGTTGGTTAAAGCGTCGTCCCATTATGCCAAGGTTACAGGATTGATCCCCGGTCAGGGCACATACAAGAATCAACCAATGGTGCATAATAAGTGGAACAAATCGATGTTTCTCTTTCTCTCTTCCTCTCCCCCTCTCAAAAAATAAAAAATAAAAAATCAACCAATAAAAAAATACCTTTTTAATACCATGAAATTAAGCATTTCTAAATTTACATAAAAATCTCTTAGCTTGAAAGAAGACATTCAAATTCACATCTAAATAATAGATACGATTATTTGAGGAGGAAATACAAACTGAATTCAGATTCAACTTGAGGTATTTTATAGAAGACAAAAGTAAAACTGCCCAATTTTTATACGGAAAATTACAATGGCCATGTTCTTTTTTAACATGTCATTTGAGGCCATCAATACTATGCTTTTTCAACCTGTGAAACTTCAATAATAATGTTTAATGCATAATAAAATTGTAAGATAAGTTTCTCTAAGTTATAGCTACATGACACTAACCTTCAAAACTGCTGTATGATACTATGTAAATAAAATATTGAAATACTTGATATTTTGGCAAATCCTAAAGTAAATGGACCCAATATATAATGGTATAATTTTTCTGAATATCCCTGGAAGCCATCACACTACTGGCTCTTCCTGACACGTCTATGGTAGTCCATTTGAAAAGCATCCATTTGAAGAAATAAGGCATCATATAGGGCAGCTTTCAAATATATAATCTCTGTACAAAAGGCAACTATCAATTTTAATACCAATTTTACTATCAGCCAAACTCAACTCTCTAATGCTAACTCTTCTTAAGAGGTGTAGAGAAAATGCATGTGATATGCGTATTGAGCATGTAAAGTAGGCGCTCGATAAATTATAATCAGTATTACTATCAGACTCATTCCCTTACCGGGGATACCTATCATCTTTGGCATGTCATCCTTCTCCAAAAAACAATTACGTGAAGATAAACATGACTCATAATATAGTCTTTTTCACATCAACTCAGTGGTTACATCACATATTCATCATAAGGGTTAACAGAATAACAGTGACATAATCATGCCAGCCTACACATAAATATTTACCAGTTCAGGGGGCTAAAGGAATCTACTTACTATTTAGGACCCCTGGGATAGTTGGAAAGTTATTTAATAGCCTGGTTTTATAATAAAGTTTACCTAAAGCATAAAATCCAGCTCTTGCAAGCTGCTCCTTGTTAACAGAGTACATCCACGTCCCAAAAGTAATGATCCGTGCTTCGTAATCTGCCATGGCTGGATTTCTTGGAGGATTTGTTGAATTTGGGAAATTCCTATCAGAACCCAGGGCATCAGATTCACTTCGAGTATTAATATTCCGGCCCAAAACAAAGAAGCAATTAGGAAAGTGTCGCCTGTGTTCTGACCATGCACGATCACAAGGTTCCCAATTTTTCAGTTTTCCACCACAACAAAAGCACTGCACTTGATCGTCAATACCTGTATAGTAGAGCCCAGCACTAGCTAACTCTCTGGGGGTTAAGTGGGCATAGTCTGGCCAATTCTGAAATGACTGTAATCGAGCTTCTTCACTACACATGGCAGGGTTCCTCGGGTATATGGTGTCGGAGAGATCTACAACCTGTCCAGTTCTCAAAAGATAGTCTGCGTGAGTCTCGGATGGCCTGTCTAAAGCAAAATGATGTCTGTTTCCCAGATAATTTTCACCTTTGTACGAACCATTCAGGATACGAGAACTTGTAGATTGCGCAGCACTATTTTCAAAATAAAAGCCACTGATAAATTGGCAATTTGGGGATACTTTCCTGTGTCTTCCAACTGCTGAGTCTCCATATTGCCATCTATCTACTGCTGCGCGACAACTAAAGCACTGCACCGTGTCGCCTTTGCCAGTATATAGAAAACCAGCTCGTGCTAGTGTTGATGCCGAAACAGGACTACTACTTGGAAAATTAGCAAAAGTTTTTAATCTATTAAGCTCTTCTACAAATTCTTCATCTTTATCGGTGTCTGCAGGTACACAAGTTTTAGATCCTCCAAAACAGTTAAAAGTCATCTTCTCTTGAAAATAGGACTTGTCCACCTTTTCTAAAAAGAGAACATTACATTAGGAAAGCCAAAATGTGAAACACAGGCAATCACTTTTGATATTAGGAACTAACAAATTACCCACTCATGACATACAATCAATCATACAACCTCTAAGAAACATTCTAGTTCTAGAGTTCTATATTACCACATGAGTCAAGACATGAAGTAAAAACTAGCATTTGTTTTCACTTTTAGAGGAAAGTAATATTTAAGCAAGTAGAACAGAACTATTCATTTTTAAGTGCTTATTTTACATAAATATAGAAACTGTGATGCAGAATATATTAAAATTAACCATGTGAAATCATTAATTAGGAAAAACATGAAAGAAGCATAAAATATGCAGATTCTTAAAGTCTATGCATAATTGTTATAATGGATTGTTACAGATTCAAGGCATCAAAGTTCAGTTTCTACAATTTTAAAAAAAGAATGTTCAGAATGCTAATGAATTGATCTTAGTATTTCTTTGCTTTTTTGCTTAACAAAAGATAAGTTATTCACAATAATGGTTCCAATGGGTTCTTTAAGAACATCAAAAGTTTCTGATTTTCATGCGTAAACAAAGAGGCCATTTTTTGCTGAAATTGGATTTTAGATGTATATAATACTGCCCTCTAGAGGGTGGCTCAGGAGGAATACTAATTATGCGTAGTTACTTTTGCTATCAACTTCCCACGATCAAGGAAGTTCAAAGGTAAGAAGTACCACTGCAGCCTCATTAGATCTGCCAAATTATAGCTGTGTAATATTTAACCCAGATTAAAAAAAAAACAAAAAACCTAAAAGGAACTAGTTGGGTTATGAGAAGGATGGCCAGTTATTTATACTCCAAACCTAGACATTTTTTTTTTTTTAAATAGATCTTTATTGATTTCAGAGAGAGGAAAGGAGAGGGAGAGAGAGATAGAAACATCAATGATAAGAGAGTCATTGATTGGCTGCCTCGAGCCTGCAGCCCCGGCCTGTGCCCTGACCAGGAATCGAACCCCGATCGCCTGGATCCTAGGTCGACACTCAACCACTGAGCCACGCCCCGCAGGGCCAAACCTAGACACTTTTTGAAAGTGAAAACTGATGCTCCTAATAATTACCCTGGGACAAAAGGTGGAAATCAGGGTTGCCTCAGGCAACCATGATTCTCCAGAATCCCCCACAGTTCCTAACACTGTACTCAGTATTGCTTGTCAAAAGCAAAATAAAAGAACAGTCACAATGACTCTGCCTCTGCTTCACCAGTGAGTTAACTGATTTCTTAGGAAGAATAACCAGCTCTTTTGGCATTACACTGGCATAGTGTGCCCTGGAAGACCACCTCTCTTAGAACGTTCAACACAAGGCCTCTGTCTTGCAGGCTGACAATGGACATCAGTCCTTCTTGGCCTTGTCAATTTGCAATGCTATAATTCATATATACCTCAAGAGCTGAGTTATATCTGCATACAACAATTTTTGGAAGTCTCCATGACTTTTGATGACTGTTTCTCAGATATCTGAAAATATTCTGACACTAGCTTCAAGGCCCTTTGTTGAATCAGCATAAACTGGATGACAAAAATCAAGATCTAAAGAAACCAGGGCTGGCTGACAGGCGAATGAGAGAAATTTTAACAGGGATATGTGTAAAAAGTTTTACATTCTGACTTTAAAAATCTGTTGCACAACTAAAAGAAGATGGAAACTTGATTTGAAAAGAAGTCACGTGAAAGCAAAGCAGACTAAAATGGGGATTTTAGTTAATTACAAATTCTTTCTGAGCCAACACTACATGGCTGCTAAAAAACTAGCAACTTTAGGCTGCATTAATGTCCAGATGTGCAACATCCAGAGCCAATTCAGCTACACTGTGAATATTATTTTAAATTCTGAACAAATTTTAGAAGGGACATTAACAAAGTGTAATGCCCCCTAAAGACTAATCGGAGTAATGCAAATGTTGTCCTATGAGGGAGAGGTGGAAGAGCTGAGTGCTTATCTTGGAAGGGGAAAAACTGTGGAGTATGGGGGACAGATTAACTGCCTTTAGGTATCTAAGACGCTGTCATGTAGAAAGGGATCCAAATTCTGTGAAGCTTAAGGGCAGAATCAAAGCCAAGAAATATAACTACAGGCTGTAGATTTTAACCCACTGCAAGGATGCATGCTTACAATAACAATAGCAGTACAAAATGAATTGGGTTGCCCTGTGTTGCCTTGTAGAATGAGTTCCTCCTATCACTGGAAGGTACTTCAGCATGGCCTGAGACAGTATTAAACATTTCTAAGTCTGTAATTACCCTGAAGAATTAATGCTCAATACAATCGATATGAAAATTACCTTCTCTGAGATGATAAGCTTTATTTCTCAGAGATCAATCAAAATAGATAGACGTGTAAAATCAACAATCTATTCTCACTTCACAATAGTGTATGTTCTGTGTGGTTTAAGCAGCTACCCTATTTCAGGTATTATATAAAACTCCATCATTCAATATTATTAGCAGGAGAATCTCTATTTGAAGCTTTCAAGTGGAGACCTCATCTTCCCAGGGGTTATTTCTATGCTAATAGTTTAGATTTCACTGTCTTAAAAAGCAGATATTTATTCAGAAGCACTCAACCCAACAGTACATATACATTATCAGAGTGAGAGCTTTTGGAGAAATGTGAGCAAATGAAATTACTAGAGAGGTTAAGAGTGAAAGGAAGAAAGATGACTGACAAAAGGCAGTCATCTTTTGGATTTGGAGGAAGTCTCCAAAAGAAAGGGAGAGAGAATTTAAAAAATTAAGTGAAATGAAGGTAGGGAAGATGCTATTTAGAAAATAAGTATATATGGAGCACAGGAATTGTGAATACAGAATGAAATGGGGTACGGGTATTGGAGAAGGGTGATAAAAAGCTTTGGGATAAAAAAAGGTCTGAATGTAATAAAGTATGCTGAGATAATTTAAGGCTTCTTTGTGAAAGTATATGCAGGCTTTATACTGGGTAAGCAGAAAGGTAAGAAAGGCACAGAGAAAACAGAGTTAAAGAAAGCTTCGATATAAAGGGGTTAGGCAGTCATAAATCTTTAGGGGAACAGTGCTTAGGAAAAAAGGCACTATGGATGCAAACTGGCAAAAGAAAGAATCAGCAAGTAGAGGTACATGTTTATATGAAGGGTATGGAAGATTTCAGGATGTGAGATGTGCTTAATATACATATGCATACACACACAGGATATATATAGCCTAGTCAAATAGGTAAAGATAGCCATGGGCAGGCACCAAAGAGAAGAGGCTGACAGCTAATTTAGTGATAATGTGGGAATATGGGCAGTTGGAGGAGAGAGAAAAGCACACACATAAGACCCACCTTCCTACTATCTGCATATACTACAAAAGTTTCTATTTCCCTGGGTTTTTATTATTAAATACACAAAATTAAAGCTACTTTAATGGGGGAAAGGATATAAAATAGGATGCAGCCCGGCCGGGCGTGGCTCAGCAGTTGAGCGTCAACCTAGGATCCAGTAGATCGGGGTTCGATTCCAGGTCAGGGCTCATGCCCGGGTTGCGGGCTCGATCCCCAGTTGGGGGTGTGCAGGAGGCAGCCGATCAATGACTCTCTCATCATTGATGTTTCTATCTCTCTCTCTCCCTCTCCCTTCCTCTCTCTGAAATCAATAAAAGATATATTTAAAAAAAAGATTAAAATAAAATAAAATAGGATGCACATTAGACTGATATTGCATGAAAACATACACTCATGGACAAGACTTGGAAGGTAATTTTTTAATAAATGGGTAAAATGTGTTAAGGTGGTAAGATTAAAGGTGATCTTTTCCTTCAAAATGTCTTTAATAGTATTTTCACTTAATGTCTCTCAGGACGGCACCTCTGCTCTGGGCCAGGAGCCCAGCTGTGTGGGAGGCGGCCAAGAGCAAGAAGGTGGATGGACTAGATGCCTCCTCCCCCTCCCCTCCCCCCTCCTCCTCCACAGGAGCCGCAGGGGCATCAAAGCAGGGAGGGGGGGCCGCAGGGAGTTGCCTCTTCGCCTGCCACCAATGAGCCCTGTGGCGCTCAGTGGAGCTCAGCATTGAGAACCAAGTCACCAACGCAGGTGCATTTGGTGAATCGTGGGCTCCTAGCACTTGTGAGGGGCAGCCCCACACTCAGCATGACTGTGGCTGCAGGGGCATCCTGGAGGGAAAGAGCAGAACTTTGACATTTTGAGGAGTTTTTTAGATTACTGCAACATGTTCATAAGATATCTAATGTTGACATTTTATTAGGCTATGCAGACTTCTAGGGACACTTACTACCTATAAATAATGACAAGTACAGCCAACCCACTGCTTAGGATTTTTACACAAAAGAAGGAAGAAACAGACAACAGTGCCTTTGGTACAAACATGCTAACAAAGTAGTAAAATGTTTTAACCAATACACTGTCCTGTCAACCACAGAAAAAAGCCACATCCAGCCACTCGTATGCCCTAAGATTTCACACCTATCTTCAATTACAGGTGTGGATATTCACCCAGAAACACATCATAGGGCTATAGTTCATCTTTAAACTTGATGCTGGCCCAGCAAGGCGTGGCTCAGCGGTTGAGCATCAACCTAGGATCCAGGAGATCGGGGTTCGATTTCCAGTCAGGGCACAGGCCCGGGTTGCAGGCTAGGCAGCCAATCAATGACTCTCTCATCATTGATGTTTCTATCTCTCTCTCTCCCTCTCCCTTCCTCTCTCTGAAATCAATAAAGATATATTAAAGAAAAAAAAAGACACTGAACATTCCCTAGGACTCTATAGCTGGATGGTTTCAGCCTAAGGGAGATACCGCATGGCTTAGAGAAGGTCCCAGGGATATCTTCATATCCTGCCTTGTTCCAGGAGGTCTGGCTCACAGCACAAGTCTATTGGCTGTTAATGATGAAGCTTTAGACGTTAATGATATAGAAGTTTCAAGGAAGAGTTTTGATCAAGCAAACAGCTGCAACCTCATCACAACAGCAAGACAAACCAGGGGAATGATGTTAGGAACAGTAGGGCTTCTGGAAGCTCCAGCCAATCTACTGATAACAGCCTTCTAGGCGATCTACAGCAGACTGAACCAAACACTGAGCCAAAGGACAAAGACAGAGAAGATGATGGCATTATGATCGAAGATAATGGTGAGCCACAGAAGATTCCTAAAGCTGTTCCTACTACCAAAGTCCTTGGAATAGTTGACACAAATAGAACAAGTTCAGTTTTGAGTCTGGACAGAACAGTTTTATTCCTTCTTACTGAGTTTAGCAGCTCTAGCAAGTGGCACAAACAGAAGAGAATTTGAAACACATGTTCCAGGCCAAAAACTCTTTAGACTATGGAACATAACATCAGGAAACCATCGTTTGAATGTTTTCTGAGTGAGGGTGTCACAGGACTTGTAAATCTGGCAAGTTTAAGAGCTTTTAAACCTCTGATCCAATGACCTGGAATAGGCATGAGAACAATAATGTTGCAAGTTAACCCTTTGCGGTCGTATTAAATTTGGACATGGGTGTCGTACTGGTCGGAATTAATCTCCATTGAAAGAGCAGTGATACATAAGATGCAAGATTATGAAGGATAAACAAGAGAAATTATGAACTGATACATGAATGAATAGAGTTAAGATTCATACAGTTCCTTACTGTGGTGGCTGAAAGCAGACATATGACCGGAACGGTAAAAAAGCTTTGGTGGCTGAGAGTAGACAAACGATCGCAAAGGGTTAAAATGTTATAAAAATAAACAGAAAAAGAAAGATTAGTAGTTGTCTAAGACTGGGGTAAGAGGGGAAATGGGGAGCAACTACAGATGGTTGAGTTTCTTTTTAAAAGTAATAAAAATATTCTAAATTAGGTTGTAGTGATGGTTGCACAACTCTGAGAATATAATGAACACCACTGAACTGTACACTTTCAAAGGGACCTTTGCTAATGAAGTTACCTGCTTTTGATGTGGAAACTAGATGTTACAGTACATTTTCAGAACTCAGTGAGATTACCAAATCATTTGTTTGAAGTGGTTAAATATTTAACCTGTTGCAGAGATCCCAGTTAAGTTTTTCTTTATAACTACATTCTTTAAATTCTAAGTGAAGTCTGATACTATTTCTTTTGGTACTCTCAGGACCTCAGTTCCTGTGTTCCCAGTATTTTATTTCTTAATGTTGTTCTTCTGTTAATTGTTACAAATCATTTTCTGAAATGCATTTAACTTCTAAGAAATCAAACCAATTGGCTTTTTAAATTTTTTTAATTTAAAAAAAATCCTCACCTGAGGATATTTTCCCATTGACTTTTAGAGTGGAAGGGAGGAAGAGAGCGAGCGACAGAAACATCAATGTGAGCGAGACACATCGATTGGTTGCCTCCCGCACGCCCCTGCCACCCCAACTGGGGCCAGGGATCGAACCTGCAACTCAGGTGTGTGCCCTTTACTGGGAATTGAACCCGTGACCCTTCGATGTGCGGGCCAATGCTCTAACCACCATACCGCCCAGGGCCTAATTGGCTTTTTAAAATAAGTTTCTTTCCATATTATGAAGCACTGAAGCTATGCTACTAAATTATAAAATTCTGTGGCAGCTTTTCACATTGGTGTTTGTCCATCCTATAGCTTACATATTTATAAACGAATTCCAAATATGTATAATTTATGTTTTAAAATTCAGATAACTCCACTGACCCTGGTAATATAGAAGACTCTCTCCTTTAATTCGTATCCTCATTCCCAATCTCACTGGAAAGCATTCCTTTTATTTTGGGTGCATGTGTCTATATATATGCTGCTGTGCTTTTGAACTAATGTATTCAAAGTAGTGTGAGCTGTTTGGGGTACAAAATCCACCTAGATTAAGAGATTTTTACATATAAGACAAATGTGCACTTTTTTATACAAAGATTTTGGATTTTCTTCAGTGGCATTATTCTAGGAATACCACCTACACTTCAGGAAAAAGATGTACTGACCACTGACAGGTAGAATTTATGTTTTATTTTCATTAGGCTACTTCCCACACATCCACTTAGAACAAGTTAAGAGTAAGGCTGCCGACATGCATTCTTTGCCTGATTTCTTTGGTATTTATCATTGTACAATGTGCGTGAGCACCACAGTATGTATGTATATAGAAATTAAGAATATTATAAAGTACATTAATTCCTTACGGTTTATGGATAATTCCCACCAAAGCTATTTGTTAATTTTATGGTAGGGCTAGTATGGATGCATTTATGACGGTTGTATGCCATTAAAACAATGAAGAATCAGATGACTCTGTTTTGGCCTCTGTTTTAAAGGATAGCTTCTCTAAATGATAAAAACAAAAAAACACAAATAAAGTCTTAATTGACTGAAAACTACTCTAATGTTGCCCTGGTCAGTGTGGCTCAGTTGGTTGGAACATCATCCCGTGCAACTATCAATGTTTCTCTCTCACATAGATGTTTCTCTCTCTCTCTCAGATCAATAAAAAACATATCCTTGGGTGAGGATTTAAAAAAAATCAAAACAAAAGACAACTTCTAACGTTAAATAGAAAAAAATCCCATGCAGAGAAATACTTTTTGTGAGAATATGAAAACACTACTCAGAAATGTATTTTAGTATTAAACATTAGAATAAAAATCTGCCTTGCTTATGCCCTGCCCGGGTAGCTCAGGAGGTTAGAGCATCGTCCTGATACACCAACGATGAGGGTTCAATCCCCAGTCAGGGCACATACAAAGGTCAACCAATGAGTGCATAAATAAGTGGAACAACAAACTGATGTTCCTCTCTCTCTAAAAGTCAATAAATAAAAATTTTTAAAAGACTGTCTTACTTGAAATGAAGATTAAGAGAATTTTAAGCAATTTTTAAAATCTATGCTAAAATACCATGAGTTTTAACATTATTTCTGTAACCAAGGGCTTTGTTAACCTCTCATCATGAAAAATCATTTAAGTAACTCTATTGATGTAGCACAGTACAAAGGGAATTAAATGATCGTTATGGGTTGAATTATGCCCCCCCACAAAAGATGTGAAGTCCTAACTACCACTTAGGAGTGTGACCTAATTTAAAAAGATGGTATTTGGAGATGTGATCAGTTAAGATGAGGTCATTACATGACTGATATCCTTATAAGAGAAGAAACACAGACAGACACACAGGGAAGACGGCCCTGTGAAGATGTAGGCAGGGACAGGAGTGATGATGCATCTAGAAGCCAAGGAGTACCAAGGATCAATGGCAACCACGGAAGCTAAGAGAAAGGAATGAAACAGGTTCTCCCCAGGGCCTTGAAAGAGAGCATGGCCCTGCCAGCATCTTGATTTTGGACTTCTAGCTTCCAAAACCGTGAGAAAATAAGTCTGTTGTTTTAAGCCACTCGGTTTATGGTACTTTGTTATGGCAGCCCTAAGAAACTTAATGCAATGATGTTAAAAATATGAAAAGAATTATGCAAGTGCCCAGCTGGGCGTGGCTCAGTGGTTGAGCATGGACCTAGGATCCAGGAGATCGAGGTTCCATCCCCAGTCGCAGGTGTGCACGAGGCAGCCGATCAATGACAGCTCTCTCATCATTGACGTTTCTCTCTCTCTCTCCCCCCCTTCCTCTCTCTGAAATCAATATATATATATTTTTTAAATTATGCAAGCAATATAACCCTATTAGCTCCCACTGCAGTACTATTATCATGCTGACCGAAACATTACCTAATTATGTAATAAAGTCATCTGTTTAAAATTCAGAAAACAGCCCGGCCGGGCGTGGTTCAGCGGTTGAGCGTCGACCTAGGATCTAGGCGATCGGGGTTCGATTCCAGGTCAGGGCACATGCCCGGGTTGCGGGCTAGGCGATCAGTGACTCTCATCATTGATGTTTCTATCTCTGTCTCTCCCTCTCCTTTCCTCTCTCTGAAATCAATAAAGATATATTTAAAAAATAAATAAAATTCAGAAAACAGTTGTTTTTAGAATCTCATCTATGACATTTTTGCTGATTCTTCCACTCAAAACCTCAGAATGACTACACTTTGTGCCCCCCCCCCATGCATCCTCTACATAATTTGCTGATGACCCAAGTATACTAGAAGAAGATTTAATAATTTCTGCAGCTTTGTATGTTTGTATGTGTGTTGTTAGAATGAAGGTCCTTTATGACAGGGCTGTGTTTTATTACATTTGTATTTCCAATGCCCAAAACCATGCATGACACACAGTAGCACTTAAATACTGGGCAAAAGAATAAATGGTGAACCACCTCTATTAGGCTACTGCTGTTACTATTCCACATCCCAACCACCACCTCCCTGGACTCTTGAAATCATTCTGAGTACTTAAAATCGTTAATATGCCGTTGTGCCTAGGAAATGTGACAAAAATAGGAAATACATGCATACCATGTAAACAGTAAAAACCCATACTAAAATCACACTTCAAAAATATTATAGGATTCACCCTGGCCGGTGTGGCTCAGATGGTTGAGCGTTGTTGTCCCATGCACGGAGAGGTCACCAGTTTGATTCCCAGTCAGGGCACATGCCCTGGTTTCGGGTTTGATCCCCAGTAGGGGATGTGCAGGAGGCAGCCGATCGATGTTTCTCTCTCATCAATGTTTTTCTCTCTCCCTCACTCTTCCTCTTTCTCTCACTGATTTTAATCAATAAAGACATATTTTAAAAGAACTTTAAAAAATATTAACGGATTCATACATTTTTTCATAACATCATAAAAATTTTGTATGTGCTAACCAAAAACGCCATCATAATTTAAAATGTATTTTAAGATTCTCTCTTTGCTCAAATATTACAAGTTTTTCTCATCAGTGGCTTTTTCCTCTATAGAGGATCTAGCATAGAGATCTTGTCAAATAAGCAGCATTCTCCCTGACCCAATGTAGCTCAAATCCTCTTTTAATTATCTTAGAAGTATCAGCCAGTTACTTCCCTGTTTAGAAATAGTATTTTGATTTACAATGTTGTAGTATCTAGGAAATACAGCTGTGTAAATATATTATAGTATGAAAAAGCTGAATTTTTTAAATGAAATGCTCTAAACAAAAATGGAATATCATTTTCCAAATTCAGCTTTGAATTTGATATGATACATTCACATAAAAATTCAACATTTAATCAAATTGTTTATTTATACTATTCGGAGATTCTTCAAATAGTGAAGCATATTTTCTTTTAACTTGAACTTAAATGGTCAACAAAACATTTTTGAGGTTAATTACAGTCAATCAAATCAAAAGTTCTTTCACTAAACTTAAGCATTAGAGCCATTCAAATAACTGAATGGCACTAATGAGCACTTAGCCCATGAGCTCAGTCAGTAACATAAGCTTACTAATACTGCTGTATACAACGTATGCTTGATCATGAAGCCTACTTCTGTAAATACCTGAAAGGGCATACTGAGAACCAACAAGAGGAATATCAATTACATGTTCTACACTTTAATTTAGGAAGTCATAGTAATACTTGAATTTGAGCACAGACCTCCAATCTTTGACAAATTATTCATAACGACTAACTCCACAGGTGTAGTTCCCTCAGAATAAACACACAGTAAGGCGTTCCCTCATCTATTCAACGAATTACAGAACTGTGTTCCCCCCAAAGAATGAAGAATAGATAGGTTTGGGGCTCAAGAATTCACTCAAGAGCATAAAAAGGCTCAAGATCACTATTATTCCCCTCTTCTATTTCACTGAAAACTGTGCAGAACTTAAGACAATTTATAGTGCTCATTAATCAGTAGTCTTTGATTCAAAAACAAACCATGTACAGTCCAGTCCAAACTGTAGATCCACGACACAGATTAATGCTATTTATGCTTATTCAGAGCTCAGATCAAAACCTTTGCTAAAATCAGAGCAGGCAGAAAAATATCTCAAGATGGATACCAACCCAATTTTAAATATATATATATATATCTTTATTGATTTCAGAGAGAGGGAGCGAGATAGAAACATCAATGATGAGAGAGTCATTGATCGGCTGCCTCCTGCCCGATCCCCACTAGGGATCGAGCCCACAGCCTGGGCATGTGCCCTGAATGGGACTAGAACCGCGATCTCCTGGATCACAGGTCAACGCTCAACAGCTGAGCCATGCCAGCCCGGCCCAACACAATTTTTAATAAAAACTGGTTTCCTTTTTAAAAGAGAGGGGTTAGAAAAATCCTACAACCCAGGCTGTGAACACTTTAGTATATTTATCCTGTAAGAACCTTTTCTGTGTGCACGTACACATTATAAATATTTCTAAAGGGAATTTATTTTTCATGGTATTTTATAACTTGCCTTTTTTCACTTAATAATATATAATAAACATCTCACATAAATTTTTATCTAGATTAGAAATGTTATTTTAAATGGATGACAAGTACCTGCCTTATGAATGTATCATAACCTCACCAAATCCATATTGTTGAACGTTAATTTTAGATGTATATTGTTTAAAAGAGACAATATAAACAGTGATCAAACAATTCAATAGGCACAAGAGTTACATCCAGCCCACCCCTGTACCTTACACTTCTGGTTCTCTTCCTAGGAGCAATCACTCCTACAGTTTTCTGTATATTCCTACAGAGATGATCTAGGACTATAAAAGCAAGTATGAGCATTTTATTTTTTTTAAATATATCTTTATCGATTTCAGAGAGGGGAAGGGAGAGGGAGAGAGATAGAAACATCAACGATGAGTCACTGATCGAGCCTACAACCCAGGCATGTGCCCTCACCGAGAATTGAACCTCGATCTCCTGGATCCTACGTCGATGCTCAACCACTGAGCCACACTGGCCGGGCACAAGTATGAGCATTTTAAAAAACAAATGTTAACTGGCATAGGTATGTACCTTCACTGCTGGACATTTAGAAAGCTAGCAATATTTTGCTACTATACTTTGGTATACTATTGGATAAAAACTATACAACTTTCCTATTATAAAAAATATTGCCCTGGCCGGTGTGGCTCAGTGCACCAAAAGGTCCCAGGTTCGTTTCCCAGTCAGCGCACATGCCTAGGTTTCGGGTTCGGTGCCCTGCCCACGTGGCGGCATGTGTGGGCGGCAACTAATTGACATTTCTTTCCCACATTGATGTTTTTC